CCCGCCGATCCCTCCGCACCCCTCGCCCTCCCTGGCCTCGCCCCTGCGCGCACCGCGACCGCCCTGCGTCGCCTCGGCCTGGACGTGCATCCGGAGGCCGGGTCCTTCGGGGTTGGGGGCCGCGGCGGGGCGAAGGGGCGTCGGGGGCCGGCCCGAGGGACTACTTCTTGTTCAAAAGTTTTCAGCGGCAAAAAGTTTGGTTCGGGACTGCGGAAGGATCCGGCTCTGACTGTCGCCTTTCTCGGCGACAATTGGCAAAGATTTGCATCTCAATAGCGGAGGAGGCGCGGGCGGAGTGGGGACTGGGGAGCCTGAGGGAACCGTGCGCGGTGGGGAGCTGGACCCGTGGAGGTGGGGAGGGGCGGCCGAGGCCGTTTAGGGGTCCCCGGGCCCGGGGCGGGAGCTCAGGGAGAAGTCGTACCCTCAACAGCCGTAGGTAAGCCCTGAACCAGCGGCTCTACTCCCCGGAGCCCTGAGGTCTCAGTTGTAAGCTTCCTGGAGACCGCACAGACACCCTGGCTCTGACGGCCCGGCACTTGACCCGGAGGGATGGCGGCGCCAAAGCTACGGTTTCTGGAAAGAGGGCCCTTGTTGCCCCAATGAAACAACCTGGGGCCAACGCCTGGCCACACGGATTGCGCTGCCACTCCCCCAAGAGGGACCCGCGCCTAGACGCTCCTTGGTCACTGTCCGGCCCCTTTTCTGGCGCCTCCAGCCTAAGATGCCCCGCAAAGCCCACGAGTCCCGCAGGCCCGCTGCTAGCGCCCAGGCCGCCCTGGGCTCCCCCCACGTGTTCCTTCCGCATGATTTATTTCTCCGCCGCGATGCCAGATTTGGGCGTCCTGTGCCAAGCCAGGTTAAGCGCTGGACGTTCAGAATGCCTGCCCTAGTCCCCACTGAAACCAAAGTTCATGGCCCGGCACTGGGGACAGACATCCCTATCCCAACGCAGGGTGGTCAGCCCCATGGGAGGAGGTACAACCACCCAGCCCTGCATCCTGGCGGGCTTCTGGAGTAGGTGATGGCAGAAGGGAGCCTTAAAGGCTGAGAGGGACCTAGCTGGGTGAAGGACCCTGGGGAAGGATCCTGGGGAGCGAGGGGAAGGAGCACCTGCAGGACTGCAGAACCTGGAGGCTGGCAGCCAAGCAGCCCTTGCAGGGAGCCTTGCGAGCTAGGCAGAGTGGGCTGGTGGTGGGCAGATTGCACACCTGACTCCTGCCCACTCCTCGTAGCACACCTGTCGTGGGTCACTCGTGGCAGCTGGGATGCTGTGAGGGACAGCCAGTCCAGGCCAAGGCAGCTGCCTGCCTCCTCCCAGAAGCTGGCTGCCCTTCCCAGAACCTGGGGTAACTTCTCTCGGGGCCAGTGCCCGGGAGCTGAGGCGCCTGGAGGCAGCAGAGATGTTTATATAAGGGCAGCCCAGCAGCCTGGAGGAGCGGATTGTCCGTACAAGGAAGAGGGTGGCTGCAAAGTCCCTCCCTGTGCCCGCTCCCCAGCTCACGGACTTAGGGCTCTGCCCACCACATCCCCCTCTACTCTTGGGGAAGGACTGAAGGCCTCAGGAACCACTCCCTCCCCCAGGAGCCGCCACTGCCTGTGTGCCCTCCATTGGGGCCCTGCATTCTGCCAATAGGCTTTGGGCCAAATTTCAGCCCTGGCTTGGGAGCAGGTTTTCACCCTCCTGCCTTGGAGCAGCTCTGGAAGGAGGGGAGGAGGGAGCACT